GTACATGGATAGGAAAGTAACAGAGGGTTATAAGGAAACACAGACAACTGGGACTAGATCAGTTTAGTAAACCTGGTCAGCATAAATGAGTTGGGCCAAAGGGCCTGTTTCTGTGCTGTGACTCGAATTACCCTGGTTTTCTCACATGGAATGGATTTGCACTCCGTGGGCCTGGGATACCCTGCCTTTTGTTTATTCATTAACTAGGCCAAAATAAACCAGATTATAATCAAGATCGTTTCATCAGTGAGTCAACAATCAACTTCTTCTCTTATAGACAAGTCATTTTATTTAATAGTAAGTTAGTCAAAATGTTTTTCTTAATTACTATTATCAAAACACTGCAGATTTTAGTTGGCTGAAAAACTTCAGACATTTTCATTGTCACAATACCTTGTAGGTTAGCTTAATCTTCATCAGCTGCATTTGATAAATTGAACACTGATTGTAGTTACATAAACAAATTTATAAAGGGGGAGCACAGTGACTCTTTGGTTAACACTGCTGCCTACCAGCACCAGGGACCCAGGTTCGATTCCACCCTCGGGTGATTGTTTGTGTTGAGTTTGCACGTTCTCCCCGTTTGCGTGGGTTTACTCCTGGTGTTGTGGTTTCCTCCCACAGTCCAAACATGCAGGTTAGGCGGACTGGCCGTGCTAAATTTTCATGTTTAGGTTTGTTGGATTCGCCATGGAAAATGCAGATAGGGATAAACTTGAAGGGATAGGGTATGGGATTGGGTCTGGGTGGGCTGCTCTTCGGAGGGTCGGTGTGGATTCATGGGCTGAATGGCCTGCTTTCATGTAGGGGATTCTATTATTCCATGAAATTGTTTTCAGTTTCATGATAATTAATCTAGTCTCACTTTCTTGTTGATTAATATGACAAAGAGAACTGTCCACAGTAATCTAGCTCTGCTCTAACTAGTGTTTTCTCAGGTTCCAGTGTGGTCTCATATTCTTGACTGAACCAAACGTCTCACTGACCTTCTTACCAGCCTCTCCAGCCACCTTCGGGAATCTGTGGACATCACTCCGACTGCTCGCTGTTACTCTGTGCTTCTCATTATCTGACCAATTATTGTGCATTTTCTTGCCCGGTTGGCCCATGTCCTCCCAGATTCATTACCTCCAGAATGAATTCCATTGGCCATGTTTCTGCCAGCTCGAGTCGTCCATTGACATCATGCAGTCCACAGCTTTCTTCCTCATTGTCCACCACATGGCCAACTTCTGTGATATCCACAAACTTCATCATGGCCCCTAATTGAAGTTCAAATCCTTGATTATATACACAAAACTGTGGAAACTCATTGGAAATGGACAGCCAGACAAGGTTCAGTCCTGAATGCAGTTTACAGCAGCAATAATAGCAGAATCCAATTGCTGCTTCCGCAAGTGAAGTTGCTGGTGTTTCAGGAGGTAGTGTGACTGAGCAAATCCTTTCCCACACATGGAGAAGATGAAAGGTCCCTCCCCAGTGTGAATTTGTTAATGTTTCAGCTGATTCTGTTTACTTTTAAACCTCTTCTCGCAGTCAGAACATTGAAAAGTCTCTCATCAGCGTGAACAAATTGGTGTGTGGTGAGGTGGGATGAGTGAGTGAATCTCTTGCCACACAGGGAGCAGGTTGTTTTTCTTTATTCATTAATGGGATGAGGGCGTCACTAACCGCAGCATTTATTGCCCATCCCTAATTGCCCAGAGGGCAGTTAAGAGTCAAACACAGTGCTGTGGGTCTGGAGTCACATGTACGCCAGAACGGGTAAGGATGGCAGTTTTCTTCCCTAAAGGACATTAGCGAACCAGATGGGTTTTTTTTGGACACTCGACAATGGATTTATGGTCATCATTAGATTCTTATTTCCAGATATTTTTTAATTGAATTCAAATTCCACCATCTGCCGAGGCGGGATTTGAACCCACGTCCCCAGAATGTTGTCTGGGTCTCTGGATTAACAGTCCAGTGATAATACCACTAGGCCATAACCTCCCCATCATGTGTGGGGAGTATGGCCTCTCCCCAGTGTGAACTCGCTGGTGGATCAGAGATTGGATAAATCAACAAATTCCTGTTCTCACTCAGCACACGAGCATGGCCTCGCCCCAGTGAGAACTCAATGGTGTCTCAGCAAGTGAGATAATCGAGTGAATCCTTTCCCACAGGCAGAGCAGAGGAATGGCCTCTCCCCTGTGTAAGTGTACTGGTGTTTAAGAAGATGCTTTCCACATTTAAATTTTTTCTCACAGTCAGGACATCCAGAAAGTCTCTCATCAGTGTGAACAAATTGATGTGTCAGAAGGTAGGATGAACGAGTAAATCCCTACCCACACACAGAGCAGATGAACAGTCTCTCTCCAGTCAGAGTGCAATGGTGGTTCATCAGCCTCTGAATGGGGAGAGAGAAATGCTCGTCTGTGAGAAAAGATTTCAAACATCAGTGTGACTGCAAAAGCACCAAGACACACACCCAAGGGAAAGTGTTCCAGTGAACTGACTGTGGTAAGAGCATTAACCAGTTATACAGCCTGAAAAATAATGACACCATCCACAACACTTAAAGCTCTTTACACTTAAAGCTCTTCTCACAGTCAGAACATTTAAAAGGTCTCTCATCAGTGTGAACAAGTTGATGTATCAGGAGGTGGGATGACTGAGTGAATCCTTTCCCACACACTTTGCAGGTCAATGGTCTCTTCCCAGTGTGACTGCATTGACGTATCAATGTATCCTTTCTGCTTTTAAAACTCTTCTCACAGTCAGAACATTTAAACGATCTTGCATCAGAGTGAACCTGCTCAAGCATCCGGAGGGTTGAATAAGCGTTCAATTTCTGTACATGCATGGAGAATTGGCCTCTCCCCAGTGTGAACATGCTGGTATGTGTAGAGGCTGGATGACTGAATGAATCGCTTCCCAAACACGAAGCAGCTGAAAGGCCTCTCCCCAGTGTGACTGTGTTGATGAGTTTCCAACCCTGATGGGTAACTGAATCCCTTCCCACAGTCCCCACACTTCCACAGTTTCTCCATGCTGTCAGTGTTCTTGATTCTTTCCAGGTTCAATGATTGACTGAAACTGATTTCCACAGGCAAAACACATCAATGGTCTCTCCCTGTTGTGGATGGTGTCATTATTTTTCAGGCTGTATAACTGGTTAATGCTCTTACCACAGTCAGTTCACTGGAACACTTTCCCTTGGGTGTGTGTCTTGGTGCTTTTGCAGTCACACTGATGTTTAAAATCTTTTCTCACAGACGAGCATTTCTCTCTCCCCATTCAGAGGCTGATGATATTCAGAATCTGATGAACTGAATGACTCTGTCTGATTTTGATGTGACGACTTGTTGCAGCTTCTGGATGTCCAACCCTGTGAATACCCTGCAAAAAGAGTATATTTTTTCTTCCATTTCATTCACCTCACCTCAGTCTTCTGACTTATTTTTCTGATCTCTTCTCCCTCTCAGACTATTCTAATTTCCTTTTGAACATATCTTTGTTCCTTGCCTGTACAATTTTCTGTGAATTCTACATTTTAATCACTCTAAGTGAAAAAAATTTCATGTCGAAAAATTCTGTACATATAAACCCCATCCAAAACATCGATCATTTTAAACTGCTCTGTCAAGTCACTGCTGAGCCTTCCTTAAGGGCCCCAATCTTCAATCTTTCCCAAAGGCTGCATTATTTTTAAGTTTATAAACCCCATCGATGTCAGTGCAGCATGGAGAGTGGGAAGAGATAAACATTTCTCTGGGTTGCAGTTTGCAGATCCTCCCCATCTGGAAAAGGAGTTAATAAAACCCATCTGTTAGTCCTCCTCCCCCTCACCACCGGTCACTGCCCCAAATCTCTGCAAACCCGGATCCAGGAGCTCCTACCCCGGCCTTTGCCGCCACATACGCTGTTCACAGAGGGAGCCGCTCTCATCAGCCACCAGCTCCATTGCTCCCTCCGCCCAGGCCCTAACTCACTGACCCGCCCGTGCACCGCTCTGCCTGTGATGTGGATAGCGGACTATCACTGCCTGAGTGGATGATGGGTAATATCACCACCACTGATTTTTTCTAAAAACTGAAGATTAATACTTCTGCAATCACCTGTAGATTTACAGTGACTCAGTGAATCATTACCCAGGCACAGAATATTGAAACAGTTTCTGCCTGGTGTGAATGCACTGATAATCCACCAAACCCGGTAAACTTTTAGTCTCTGTGTCTATTTCAGAGATCCAGGATTCACAATAGTTTGCTTTCATTTGAGTCTCCTCAGAATGGTTTCCTGGTCACAGTCTAGATGGAATGCAGATCCCTGTGTTGGCAAGTGGCGGTCTTCTGGATGTTGTGGACCACACGAATGTACGATGCAGCCAATATCTGTGCTGGATGTGGCACCTTCTTCTATTCTTAGTTTTCGCAGTCTGAGCAAATGTTAGGCTAAAGTCAGCATTGAGCAATTTGAGGACTTCAAGCCTTCTGATTCTGATTCAAAGTAAACACTGTAGAAACTGCAGCCACAGTCAATTCATTTGGAACACAATATGTGACACAAAGCCACTTAGGTCAACGTGGAAAGAGAAGACTGTGTGTTTGAATTGGTATCAAGATGATGCATGTTACGGCTTGTGCAAATGGAGGACGGTTGTCATATTAAATGGTGGTGCCAATTTCCTGCATTGGAAACAAACTCTCCATTTTAGAAAAAAAGCAAAATCTCATGACAGACAGTCTCAGTGGTTCTGGGTAGAGAAAATTCAGTTTCAACTGACAGAAAACAATTCAGATTAGGAAAACCTGTCAGCTACTTCAAATTAGGCTGTCACCGATTTTAAAAATGGCACAACTTACCATGTTAATTCAAAGTAATATATGCCAACTAAAATAAAAAAAAGAAACAAATTACATTTATCCTGAAATTAATAAAACATTGATTTATTTTGGAAAGCAATATTTCTCCAGGATTTATGAACATGGGAGGAAAATAACTAATTGGATGTGTAAAGTTTTATTGAGAGAGGAGGTGACTGAGGGTAAGAGATAGATTTAAAGAAAGCACTCAATGAGAATTGGATTAACACACCTTGGGTCCAGTTCAATGGAATGCATTTGTCTATTGCTAATGTACATTCTACTGAAAGAAAAGTGGGGATGAGACTAATAAGTTGACAGGTTGTCATGACCCAATTGGGAAAGTGCCCTGATACTTGAGCCCCACTACTCCCTAAGGGCATTGCCGAATATAAAGATTTAATCAGAGTACTCAAAGTCCCCAATTTATCTGTCTAATGGACTCTGGTTAACTGAAAACACTGACCAGGTTTCTGTACTTCATAACAACCGGTCTTTATTGCAAATAGATCATTCCTAACCATTGGCAAACACAAATATGAATTACCAACACACAACTCTAATAGTTCAAACTCTGAACTCCCCCCTGTGCCCCCCCACCATTGTTCTTTCTGCTTTCCAAAACCTTCTGTTCTCCCATCTCCTGATTTACACATACATTCAGCTCTTCACAAAAGACACAGGGTAGTTAACACGCTAATTGTCAAATCTTTTGCTTATTAGTAGAGGCAACTGTTCACAGCAGCTGGTGGGAGATAATCTCTTGCTGTCTTCCAGACTTTGGTTACTTCACTGCAGAGAGCACGCGAGCAAGGATGACACTCATTTCTGCAATCTGGAGGCTTCTCTCTGTGTTGTTCAGAACCACAGCATTCAGCTAATCAGGAGTATCAGAGAATTTTGGTCATGCTGATGCCTTCAGACTTCAAGTCAACTCAATTGTGCACACATACCCAGTGCCATGGCCTCTTAACTCTCTTCCCCCGCTGTGTAAAGAAACTAACAGTGTGAACACAACTCACAATGAGTTTCAGTAACATGTGTTTAGGAAGTGCAGCAACTCCGTCCACAGTCCTTTGCTTAAAGCAGTTCTTTCCCCATTTTGTTCCACAATCCAAAATAAAAAGGTGAAGTCTTTACAGAAGCTCTCTTGGAAATGTTACTGCCTTTGCCTATGAACTTTTAAAGAGAACTTGATTTGACTGTCTGACCACTACTGAAGACATTGCAACCTTGAAGGAGGTGGTAAGGGAAGATCTTTAGACAGACACCTGTGAGTGAACCTGGGTAATTCATTTAAGTAGAAATTCACCCTTTTCAAACTACTTACATTTTATAAGGGAGTCATTTTAAGACTAATATTTAACTCAGGAAGGCATTTAACCAAATGTGTGAATTTGTCACCAGTCAGAAATATATGATTGAATAAGTTGTCAGTGTCAGCTCATTAAATTGAAGAATTAATCATGAATCCGTGATTATGTTAAAGGACTGGGTCATACTTCAAACTCCATCAGCCTGTTTTAAATTCCATGCTGCAGTTTCTGGCAGAAGGAATGTGTGATCTGATAAGATGGTTAGCAGTGAGTCCTCCAGGGTCTTGGCCAATCTTATTTGGAACTGAAAGGTTATACAATGAATAAAAGTTTGTGCAGGATCATAGAGGAGGGATGTATTGAACAGTCCCATTGCTTTCCTCATTAGCACATTTACCAAAATACCTAGAAGTAATTTGAATCAATTCAGTAATTAAACAATACAACAGAGTTACAACCAACTCAGTTCAACTGCAGTATTCGTTGCTGGGGGATAAAATCCTCAGGGACCTGGAAGACCTGTTGTGAGCCGAGTACTGGAAACCCTGAGGCAAGATATTCAACAGAACTGTTGAAGGTGGTACTGTTGCAGCAGTCTACATGGATTTCCAAATGCTGTTTAAAACAGTGTCACACAAGAAACTTAAGTGAACCTTACGGAATAAGAGGGACAGGAGCAACATGGATACAAAATTGGCTGAGTGATGGGAAACAGAGAGGAATGGCTAACAAATTTTTTGGCTGTAAGATTTTCAGTGGAGACCCCTGAAGTTAGTTCTACACAAGTTAGTGGTCAGCAATGCTGCCTCACAGCACCAGGGACCCGAGTTTGATTTCAGCCTTGGTCGACTGTCTGTGTGGAGTTTGCACGTTCTCCCTGTATCTGCGAGGGTTTCGTCTGGGTGCTCCTCTTTCCTCCACAGTCCAACAATGTGCAGATTAGGTGGATTGGCCATGCTAAATTGCTCACAGTGTCCAGGAACATGTATGTTAGGTGAATTAGCCAGGGGAAATGCAGGGTTACAGAGATAGAGTGGAGGGGTTTGAGTCTGGGTGGGATGCTCTTCGGAGTTTTAGTGTGAACTTGTTAGGCCAAATAGCCTGTTTCCACACTGTAGCGATTCAATGAAAATGCTTTGCTTTTCCTGACATATACATAAATGATTTAGACATGGATGTGCAAGGGTCAACATTAAATTTTGTGAATGTTTCCAACTTTTGAATCAGTGTAAACTGTGAGGAGGACAGTGTAGAACTTCCAAAGGAATTGATAAGTGGCTGGAATGTGCGGATCGCTGGCAGATAAAATTCAGTGTGGAGAAGAGTGTGGTGATACTTTTTGGTAGAAAGTACATGGAGAGACAGTTTAAAACACAACAGGGTGTGCACAACCAGACAGATCTGTATGGGTGTATGCATTAGTCATTAAAGGTGACAGGACAAGTGGAGAGAGCAGTTAATAAAACATACAGTATCTCTGGATTTATTAATAGGGACACAGTACAAGAACACAGAGGGTATGATGAACTTGCATAGATACTAGTTTGATCTTAGCTGGAATACAGTGTATAGTTCTGGATGCGATACTAGAAGAATGTGAATGCGCTGGAGACAGTACAGAAGAGGTTTATGAGAATTCTTCCAGTGATGAGAATCTTCAGTTATGAGGCTAAATTGTAGTAGCATCACAGAATTCCCACATTGTGGAAGCATTCAGCACATACCGACCCTCTGAAGAACGTCCCAACCAGATCCACCCCTACCCATGTAACCCTGAGATTAGCATGGCCAATCCATCTAACCTGCACAACTTTGGACTGTGGGAGGAAACCCACGCAGACACGGGGAGAATGTACAAACTCCACACAGACGGTTGCCTGAGGGTGGAACTGAACCAAGGTCCCTGGTGCTTTGAAACAACAGTACTAACCACTGAGCCACTGTGCCATCCTGACTTTGGGAACAGTTTCTTTGGAAAGGAGACTAAGAGGATATTTGTTGCAAGTTTTCAAAATCATGACTGCGTGTCGATTGATGGGGAGAAACTGTTCCTGCTTGTAAAAAGGAATGCGAACCAAAGGGCACAACTTTTAAGTGTTTTGCAAAACAGGCAACTATGAGGCAAACAATTTTTTTCACAAGCGTAGTCAGGATCTGGAATTGGAATAGACTGTCTGGAAATATGGTGGAAGCAGGTTCCAAAGAGGCATAGAAGAGGTATTTAGCTGATAATTAAGGTTAAATAACAAGCAAGTTTACAGGAAAAATGTGAGAGAATCGAACTCGGCATAATACCTCAGAGAACTAATGCAGATGTAATGGCTGAGTTCTACACCATAACAATTCTGTCTAACTGGACTGGAGTTTATGAACATCTTGGATGTGATTAACAGCAAGATCCAATCATTGAAGTTACTCATGAACTCGCTGGTGGGCCAGCAGGTTAGATGACCGAGTGAATCCTTTCCCACACTCGGAGCAGGCGAATGGCTTCTCCCCTGTGTGTACTCGCTGGTGTCTCCGCAGGTTGGATAAGTGAGTGAATTTCTTTTTACACGTGGAGCATATGAATGGCCTCTCTCCAGTGTGAATCTGCTGGTGCATCATCAGATGGGATGATCGAGTGAACCCCTTCCCACACTCGGAACAGGTGAATGGCCTCTCTCCAGTGTGAATTCTCTGGTGCATACTGAGTTGAGATGATTGTTTGAAGCCAGTCCCACAGTGAGAGCACCTGAACGGTCTCTCGTCAGTATGAACACGTTGATGGCGCATCAGATCCCCGGAAATTTTAAAGCACTTCCCACAGTCTGGACATTTGAAAGGTCTTTCAGTGGTGTGAACTTGCTGGTGTGTCAGCAGGGTGGAGGACTGAGTAAATCCTTTCCCACACTCTGAGCAGGTGAATGGTCTTTCCTCAGTGTGAAATCGCTGGTGTTTCAGAAGATTGGCTGTCCGAGTGAATCCCTTTCCACACTCGGAGCAAGTGAATGGCCTCTCCCCAGTGTGAATGCGTTGGTGGAGAATGAGGTCAGATGATCTCCTGAATCCAGCCCCACAGTGAGAGCACCTGAACGGCCTCTCATTGGTGTGAATACGTTGATGGAGTGTCAGCTCCTGGGAACTTTTAAAACCCTTCTCACAATCGGGGCATTTAAAAGGCCTCTCATCTGTGTGAATTCGCTGGTGTCTCAGCAGAGTGGGTAAAACAATGAATCCCTTCCCACACACAGAGCAGGAGAAAGGTCTCTCCCCTGTATGAATGCGTTGATGTGCCTGAAGATGAAAGGACTGAGTGAATTTCTTCCCACAGTCAGAGCAGGTGAACGGCCTCTCTCCAGTGTGAGTGCGTTGATGCACAGTGAGGGCAGAAGAATGCCTGAACCTCTTTCCACAGGATGTGCAGCTGAACAGCTTCTCCTCAGTGTGAATTCGCTGGTGTATCTGGAGGGTGGACAACTGAGTGAAATCCTTCCCACATTCTGAGCAGGTGAATGGCTTCTCCCCAGTGTGTACTCGCTGGTGTGCCTGCAGAGTGGATAAATGAGTGAATCCCTTCCCACATTCAGAGCAGGTGAATGGTTTTTCTCCATTGTGAGTGCGTTGGTGCACACTAAGGGCGGAAGAATGCCTGAATCTCTTTCCACAGGACGTGCAGCTGAACAGCTTTTCCTCAGTGTGAACTCGCTGGTGTGACCAAAGGCCAGATGACTGAGTAAATGCCTTCCCACACACAGAGCAAATAAACGGCTTCTCTCCAGTGTGATAACGTCGATGATTTTCCAGCAGGGACGGGTAATCAAATCCTTTACCACATTCCTCACATTTCCATGGTTTTTCCATGGCACATGCGTCCTTGTGTTTCTCTAGGTTGTGAACAGAACACTTGAAGAGTTTCTCCTGCTTTGAATAGCGTAATGTTTGTTTTGAGGTTTTGTGACTGTTTAAAGCTCTTTTCACAGCTCACACTGATGGGTGAAATGTTATAGCCAGGTCAGCACAGACAAACATTTCCCCTGGTGCATTCAAAGACCCATGATACTGAGAACTCTTAAAAAAAACCTCGGGAAAGATGTTCACAAAACTGTCCACCAAAAGCATAGGACAGCAATTCAAAACCAAGAATTCCAATTTGTATGGAATCTGTATGGTTCATCAAAAGTGTAAGTCACCAATCCCACAAAACACAATCATCCCTGATCTGAAATCCAAAGTCCTGGGTCCATCCTTTCCTTCACCCCGAGTATTCTCCACGTCTAATATGGTTGAATCCATTTCTTTAGCCCACTCTTGGATTAGCAAGATAGCTAAACTTACGTCCTGCTTAACATATAACCAAGCTGGTGACCATGAATATGAGCCTGTTCCTGCGGAGAAGCCTCAGGTCTCTAAACGCGTGATCTGCAGCTTATTCTTGGTCTTTGGGTTCTGCACCGTGGAGGGGGACGTTCTCAGCATTTCCGTCCTGTCTCCTTCAACCAATTAGAACGTGGGCTGGGCTGCGGCCTGACGTCACGGTGAAGGCTGGGAGCAACGCTAGAAACTCCCTGATTGGTCGGCAAGATTGAGCATGCGCATTGTCCCGGGTGACTTTCTATAAAGATGGCGGCCACCGACTAGGGCCTCACTGACGAGAAACTGTGGCTGGTTCAGTAACTTTCCCTTGTTTAAATTGTTCTCAACGTGTTCATAAAACATCCCAATCCACCCTCCCAGCTCCATCCTCCCTTCTCCGCGAACCTGAGGGTAATCACACCCGCCATGATGTTCCAACCGAATCTCTCCCTACACCGCTCACTTCAGGACTGCGCATGCTCTCTCCCGCGGTAAACCAGGTGATTGACGGTGGCTTTGCACCAATAGGAAGGGAAAGCGGGACTGGACGACCGCGTTGAAGCAGGTGATCCTCCAGCCAATCGGAGTGAATGGACGGGGTTGGACTGTGACCGCGCCTCCCCCTGACTGAAACACTCTCTCAGAGATAGTACGAACTGCAGATGTTGGAGAATCTGAGATAACAAGGTGCAGAGCTGGATGAACACAGCAGGCCAGGCAGCATCATAGGATCAGGAAAGCAACGGGTTGTGGCCTCCTCTACATCGGGGAAACCAAGCGGAGGCTCGGGGACCGCTTTGCAGAACACCTACGCTCGGTTCGCAATAAACAACTGCACCTACCTGTCGTGAACCATTTCAATTCCCCCTCCCATTCCTCAGACGACGTGTCCATCATGGGCCTCCTGCAGTGCCATAACGATGCCACCCGAAGGTTGCAGGAACAGCAACTCGTATTCCGCTTGGGAACCCTGCAGCCCAATGGTATCAATGTGGATTTCACAAGCTTCAAAATCTCCCCTCCCCCTACCGCATCCCAAAACCAGCCCAGCTTGTCCCCGCCTCCCTAACCTGTTCTTCCTCCCACCTATCCCCTCCTCCCATCTCAAGCCGCACCCCCATTTCCTACCTACTAACCTCATCCCGCCTCCTTGACCTGTCCGTCCTCCCTGGACTGACCTATCTCCTCCCTACCTCCCCACCTACACTCACCTTTACTGGCTCCATCCCCGCCTCTTTGACCTGTCTGTTTCCTCTCCACCTATCTTCTCCTCTATCTATCTTCTATCCGCCTCCCTCTCTCTCTATTTATTTCAGAACCCCCTTCCCTTCCCCCATTGTTGATGAAGGGTCTAGGCCCGAAACGTCAGCCTTCCTGCTCCTATGATGCTGCTTGGCCTGCTGTGTTCATCCAGCTCTACACCTTGAAACACTCTCTCAGCTGGTTTCTCAAATTCCAGGAGTTTTCCTCCTTTCTTGAATAAACTGTCATATTGGCAGTTTTGGAATCCGCTGGGAATTATCCACAGTTTGTAAAATTACAACCGATGCAGAATCTCTGCAGCTACTTACTTTAGAAACAGAGCTGGGGGCTTGATCTGAATTTAGCCCCTTAGTTTGTCGAATACTACTACCCTCCACATTGCCAACCCACCCACAGTACTGTTCAGGACACCATTTGATGGTCACTAGGGGATGTTCTACCCTGATGTAATTTATTAAGCATGTTACATTACTTGATCCAAATTAGCCCGATCTCCCATTGTGTCCCTTCTGCATTACTGGCCTCTTTGATGGGCAGGTGCCAGTGTTGGACTGGGCTGGACAAAGTCAGAAGTCACCTGACACCAGGTTATAGTCCAACAGGTTTACGTGAAATCACAAACTTTTGGAGCGCACCTTCTTGAGGTGCAGTGAAGATGGCCTCAACCATGATCTTGGTTTCATGTTGTGCTACAGGTGACCCTACCATACTGTTCTGTATCTGTGAAATCTTCCTTACTGTTCTGTTTTGACAGCATTGCCTTGATAAATTATGATTTCTCTACTTTAATTAGTTTGTACAGTTTTGAATTATTTATTTCTTTGGTTAGACCCTCGGCATGTGACTCATACCTATCATGTTAGTCTAGTCATTTAGTTTATCTCCAGCACCACCGTATTTTTAATTTTTTGTAATTATCTCTCTGCCTCACACTCAGATTATAGGTCATCCCTTCACTGGTTATTCAACTGTTGACACTTTACTCACAATCTAACACTCTTGGTCACCTAAAGACACTTATCATCTGACAATCCACTCACACCAGTTGTGTAATCTTTTGATCTCTCTGCCTATAAACTCTGGGACTGTGTGCTCTCACTACTCGTGACGAAGCGGCTGCACTCTGAAAGCTTGCATGATTTCAAATAAACCTGTTGGACTATAACCTGGTGTCCTACGACTGCTGACTTTGTCCACCCCAGTCCAACACCAGCACTTCCACATCATTATATGTTCTCCAGTCACCATCAAACGTTTACTTAACGTTTGATAAAATTAACAGCTACAGTCAGGGCTACTCAAAAATGTTGATCCTCCATCTGGCCACCAACCTGTCTCAGCAGGTGAGATGATTGATTGAATGCCTTCTCACAGTCAGAACAAATGAATGGCTTCTCCCCTGTGTGAATGCGCAGGTGTTTCAGAAGGTCAGAAGTCTGAGAGAATCTGTTTCCACACACACTGCGTTTTTCAAGCAGAAGATGGTGTGTGTATGGAATGAACTGCCAGAGGAAGTGGTGGAAGCTGGTACAATGGCAGCATTTAAAAGGCATCTGGATGGGTACATGAATAGGAAAGGTTTAGAGGGATAAGGGCCAAATGCTGGCAAATGAGATGAGATTAATTTAGGATATCTGGTTGGCCTGGACAAGTTGGAATGAAGGGTCTGTTTCTGCACTGTACATCTCTATGACTGTCTCTCTCTCTCTCTGTGGCATCTCACTGCAATCTGTTCCTGGTTCAGACACGGAGCTGGGTTTGAGGTTAGGTCAGTGGGAATTGGATTACTCCTAGTTCAAATCAGTGTAATCCAAACAGATACCCAAGGATGGCATGGACATAAAAACCTCACCTGACAAAGAAGCAGCGATATGAAAGCTTGTGATTTCAAATAAACCTCTTGGATTATAACTTGGTGTCATGTGACAACTGACTTTGGAAACAGAGGTTGGGGAGGGAAGGTGTGGCGTGGGGACTGACCACAGTTGGAATACCGCAAACAGTTTCGGGGCCCTGTATCTTAAGAAACAGTTTTGCGGCACCAAATCTGAAGAAATATAGACTGGCATTGGAGCCGGTCCAGAGAAGGTTCACCCAGCTGATCCCAGGAGGGTGGAGAGACTGTCTTATCAGAAGAGGTTGGGTCTGTACTGAGTTTAGAAGAATGAAGGAAAGACTTGAGGGACAGGCTCTGGGGGACGGGTGGAGTCCTCAGTGGGAGGCCTTGGGCTCAGAAGGTGGGCCCTAAGCAAGATGGCTGTGATGGTGATAAGGTCAAAGACGAGTTCCACCATTTCCAGGGTCCATGATAGAAGAGCCGAGCCAGAGACTTCATTGGCATCTGTGCCAACTATGGTGGGGAAGGAGAGAATGGCAAGATGGGATGTTACTCGTGAGTAAAGGAGGATCCCCTTCATCCCCGCCCCCACCTGTCCCGCACTTCAGAAACCTTCTGTCCATGCCTTTCACCTCTTGGAACTGGCAAAAATGCATCTCGATAGCACTGATCTCCCGGAGCTTTGGGTTTTGAGGTTTCACTGGAGCCCTTGGCCACCTCCCGCCACATATGCCCTCGCCTCTCTGGGCATAGCTGCTCATGCCCATGCCCCCTCTTTGCTTCGCCGTGCGCCCGCCCTGGGGAGAGCGCACAGGGTGATCCTGCCAAACAGCGGGAGCTGGGAAAATGCACAGGCAATGCTGGGGTCTCCCTCATTGATTTGTAGTTCAGTCTGGCCAATTCTTTCCTGCTTGGGTGGGAGAGGAAGAGCGGAAGGAGAGACCGAGAGAGGGAGAGAAAAAGAGAAGAACACAACATCATCAACAGAGAGCGTGAGATGGACAGTGCGTGATCGAGATGGAGAGGGAGAGAAAAAGAGAAGGACATAACATCGACAGAGCATGCGTGGGTGAGACAGAGCGCGGGAGTGTCTGTGAGAGAGTATGTGACATAGTGAGAGAGAGAGAGAGCGAAAGAGTGAGAGAAGGAGAGAAAGAGTGAGAGAAGGAGAGAGAGCGAGAATGTGTGCATTTGTGAGAGAGAGAGAAGAAAAGAGAGCAGGTGAGAGAGAGGTGGGGGGGGG